TTGATCATCCTGGATGTGCAGCTTCTAGCTCGAACATAGCGACATGAACCCCATGCCGCCACAGGTTGGGTGGGATCGCCAGTAGCTGATGCCAATTAACTTATGGGGGCGACAAACTGTGCTTTTGATTACGGTTTAATTCATTTTGGTGATTTGTCATGTTCTGACATCCGTAATCGAACGTTAGAGCCCCTGACGTCTAATCGGTTTACTAAACCAGATTTTGACAGGGCCCCCCGCCCATTGTTGATGAGTCAGCCTTTCTGATAAATAAACTGGCCGTTTCTTACTGATTCCAACTTATTGATTCAGCTGGTGATCAGGATGAGTATTTTGGTAATGAAGATGGCTTTTCTGGTTTTCTAACAATTTTTGTCCCAATAAAGGTATCCGGCTGCCAGGAAAACGGTGTCATATGCTGCGCAAATGTTTCAAACTATCGAATTTCTGTAGGTTGTTTGATACCCTCGGTTGGGTCGGACGGCCCGTCGGGTACAAAGTGTCTGTCCGGTGTTTTTAAGACGGGGTCCATCCCTCGCTGTATCTGGGGCCCTGTGTGCATATATATATCGTTATCCAGAAAAAGGACTGTGTCTTGGTGGACTTTCTCAAGAACTTCCTTGTTTACGGAAAGGTAAGCTAGTTTTGGCCTTTTCTGTCATAGTCACTCGTGGATGCTCTACCTTTTCTTGCCCCGTCTGTTAATTTCATCGTGAAGGTATCAAATTGAGATATTCCAGTTTTCTACAATGCTCCCTGCCCTATGCCATAGCTGCATACATGTTGACTAAGTGATATTGTCCATGCTCCTTTCCTTTTGAATGTAATAGAAAGAACTTAAGTTATGCTGTGATATGTTACTGACTGGCACTTAACCATGCAATATGCTATATTCTTCAAGTATTTGACCTTTCTTAGAAGAAAAAGGTAAATGTTGCAATGTACTTTGAACCATTTTGGATTTTCTGCCATTCAAATATAACCATTTAGATATTATTGAAGGTTGAGAGCACAGTTCCTCTGATCTGTGCATAGGTAGCATCCATATATGATATGAGGATGGCATGCTGCCATTAGCTTATCACAAAATATGTGGGACTGTTTCTTGAACTTCCTGTCATTTTCTATGTGTAGACATACATGTGTTCTCATATGTGGCTAGGTATGGAGTACATGTTTCACTTTTGTGGACAAAAGTGCTCAGTCAAGGGCTTCATGATGCATGCACTTGCACCAGCCATTGCTTGATTTATAGAATTATGAATTGTGATAAACCATGACATATATTTCCTTGAGGGGTGCCTATGATGTGGTGGTTAGCATGTCTGTGTTAACCACACTGAGTCTGGGAAACCAGAGGTACCAGGTCTTGATTCCCTGCTGTCTGCCCTTCCTGCAGTGTTGAGAGGCAGGTGACACCATACAGCCTCAGCAGCTGAGTGCATCATAAAGCCCCAATGACATATTTATTTCCTTGGGCATCATTTATGTGGTTTAGGTACCATGCTCACAACCATGATTTATGTTTTCATCCAGTTCCTGTTTATGCTGTTTACTTGTTTCCCATTTTGTAGACAGAGACAATTTCAGACCAGCCCTTTCACTGATTGTGATAGCCAATAAGAGCTTATATAGCTTAGTGGAGCATATAAGCCATATGGCTGTACTGAAGTGCAAATGTCCAAACTATCCTGGTTCTGAAATATAGCTGAAGAAAATGTATAGACACTGGTGGTGTGCACCTGTATCATTTCTGCAGAAACCAAAGTGCTTCTGGGAATCTCATGTCCTGGCTCTGATCTGCGCATAGGTAGCATCCATATATGATATGAGGATGGCATGCTGCCATTAGCTTATCACAAAATATGTGGGACTGTTTCTCTGAACTTCCCGTCATTTTCTATGTGTAGACATACATGTGTTCTCATATGTGGCTAGGTATGGAGTACATGTTTCACTTTTGTGGACAAAAGTGCTCAGTCAAGGGCTTCATGATGCATGCACTTGCACCAGCCATTGCTTGATTTATAGAATTATGAATTGTGATAAACCATGACATATATTTCCTTGAGGGGTGCCTATGATGTGGTGGTTAGCATGTCTGTGTTAACCACACTGAGTCTGGGAAACCAGAGGTACCAGGTCTTGATTCCCTGCTGTCTGCCCTTCCTGCAGTGTTGAGAGGCAGGTGACACCATACAGCCTCAGCAGCTGAGTGCATCATAAAGCCCCAATGACATATTTATTTCCTTGGGCATCATTTATGTGGTTTAGGTACCATGCTCACAACCATGATTTATGTTTTCATCCAGTTCCTGTTTATGCTGTTTACTTGTTTCCCATTTTGTAGGCAGAGACAATTTCAGACCAGCCCTTTCACTGATTGTGATAGCCAATAAGAGCTTATATAGCTTAGTGGAGCATATAAGCTATATGGCTGTACTGAAGTGCAAATGTCCAAACTATCCTGGTTCTGAAATATAGCTGAAGAAAATGTATAGACAATGGTGGTGTGCACCTGTATCATTTCTGCAGAAACCAAAGTGCTTCTGGGAATCTCATGTCCTGGCTCCCAAATGTGGTTGAAATGTCATGGACAACATGCATTTGTATATTTGGCTACACCTCTTCTTGTCTGATGGTAAAAACATGTGGCTAGGCTAGGAATGAAGTTGAAAAATCTTCATTCATATTTGGTTTGTATAGCTTTGGTTGGTAAAGCACAGCTAGGTCTTTCTATTTGACCATGAAATGTCCATCAGTAAGGTTGCACTTAAGGGATTTTAGTGTGCTCCTTCTAGCAGCAGGAGCCTTGCATGGTCGTGAGCACAGGCACACAGGTCTGTGCTTTTGAAGCAGTGTTGTGCACCAGAGCACCATGCTCCAGCTTGGTGTCAAATATTTGCCCTGCATGAACAGAATGCTGTGGAACTTCTTTATTTGCGCTTTGAATCCTATACTTTGCAAACCGGCCTTTTTCTGTCAAATTGGGTAGCAAACTGCATGGAGCGTATAAATTTGAATTTATTCATCCCAGGAATACTTGGTATGCAGTATGCAAGTTCACAGGGGTGAAAACCACAAGGAATGCTCATGCGTTCCATTTAACTACTTATGTCGTCATCACACAGTATGTCAGTAACTTAATACATTGCATTAGCGGTGGTAGAAATATAATTGCAACACAACTGATGCATGTGTTCAGCTCTTGTTCAAATGATTTGTTACAACTAATCTGCTGGCCTGTAGCATGTGATTTTGCATTGTCCAATCATTTTTTGTTCATCTTCATGCAGTTAGTATGTAGGTCTTGCAGATAGATGATCTTGTATTTTTCACAGACATGTTCATTGATGTGCTCATGACTAGGCTGATTCCCTGTTAGCCATGCCACTTGATATGTAAATGTCAGTTGACACCCATGCCTAATGGTGTGGGCTGAGTCTCTCCCCCCATCCAGACTGAATGGTTAAATAAAAGAATGTACAGAGCATGAAATGTTTGTTTACTAAGCACAAGCCAGCTGATGTTCTAAAAAGTAAATTCAGTCTAAAGTGTAAATGCCTTTTAACCTATTGCATTGCTCCTGCCACCATTTCGACCTTGCATTAGGCCACCATGCCCGCGTGAACTTATGATTTGCCAAACACATAAGCACGTGCATCCAGAAATATACACATACCAAGTCATCCACATCCATAAGCGCAGTGCTGCACGCAGAGTTCAGCTCTGAAAAACGCCGTGTGCAATGCTTTCCCGTTCTACATTAACGGACAGGATGACTCGCGGCCTACGCGTGGCGACAGGCGAGCACCGACCGCATCGCTGACGCGTTTCTGGGCCTCCGTGTGACATCTGTGGGCGGCACGGAGTTGATTGTGGCGTCGCCTCACGCGGTCCGCGAGTGGACCTCCCTGCCGGCCACGTAGACCTTGGCAATGTCGCGGCTGTCGCCCAGGTAGATGAACTTCTGCAGCAGCTCGTCGGGCGAGTGCGGTGTCAGCAGGTCCACGTCCGAGTCGTCGCCGCCGAGACTGACCAGCATCGCGTCGAACTGCTTGCCCGGCTCGAAGTTGCCGATGGAGTCGGCCAGGCCGAGCGCAGCGGCGCCGCCTAGCGTCGCCAGCCGGAGGCCGTCGCGGAATGTCAGCGGCTGGTAGTCGTCCCGGTAGATGGCGTGCACGTTGGAGGTGTGCAGGGTGGTGCGGATGGCGTCCAGCACGGACGGGTGATAGCCGCCGGACATGTCTGCGGGCGGGGTCAGGCGGGGTCAGCCGGCGTGGCCGGATGCGGGCGCTGCGACGCCGGCCCGGACGGGCGCGGAACAGCCTCTGATGGCCCCGGCCAGCAGGTCATAGGTCCCGTCATCAAGGGACGCCTCTGGCCATTGAACAGGCTCTGACTGCTCATAGGCTTCAGTTGCCACCAGGTTGCCATAGGCTTCAGTTGCCACCTTTTGTCATGACTGTGTACTTGTTCAAGGCCCCGGGGGATTTCTGGCCACCAATGTGCTCGTCTGGTTATTGTGACTCACAGGTCCCTCAGTGGTCTGTGTGATCGCTGGAGACGATGCAGATTAGCACGCAGCAGGGCAGGCATGCGATCAGTTCGCAGTCAGTCATGCGGGGACAGCTAGTCCAGGGCAGTAGCTGCTTACGCAGATGGTAGCAAGGCTGGAGCAAAATATATATGAAAGATGGGCCTTCATTCTGTGACTGGGTATTTGCAGGAGTATCCCCGGTTGTATGGCTTTTGTCACCTTGTTTTTCTGTTGTTGTTTGGTATCTGAAGAATTTGCGTTCGCCTAAAATACTGCGATCAGACCTTACCTGTTTTAGAACAGGCGGCGAAAGCCAGGTTCACGAAAACTTGTGCACTGTGGGTCACGGATTGGAATTCGAAAGTTTGACCAGCTTGTGCGCAGGTCGTATTTTGTCACGCAAACTATGGATGTAGATGCCTCGCCAATGCCCTCAAATGCCTTCCCGCGCGTGCAATTAAGCCTTCCTAGGGGAAACAATGTTGGAACAGACTATTAATATTACTAAGCTGGCAGTCTTGTGTGCCGGGCGACATAGGTGTGTCAGTAGGTAAGATCGTACTCCAGTAGAAAACAGCTGTGGGTGTATATCTAGCATAGAAACCAGCACATTAACATGTCTTTCAATTGTATTATGGGAATTGAGAGCGCATAAAGTCCTCCATCCCTACCCCGTCCCCCTCTCAAGTATACACCGGTCGAAGTCCATCTTCGTTCAAAGTATGTGACATGAATACGGACAAGTTTTTCTTTAATGTTTGCGACCGAATGAGCCTCTGAATTTTATCATCTCCGTGATGATAAGTGGCTAACATGGTAACATAATTGTGTGATGGCTGGGTCTTAGGTTTATCTTTTTGGTTTGGCCCTTCCGCTCCTAGAATTGTTGCATGATGATCAGGGTTTGGGGCTCCCGGTTTGTGTTTCATCCTCTGTTTTAGTTTTCCAGCCTTGTGTGCGGCCGCTAGTGTCATTACGTTGTGCGTGACAACATGCTTTCCGGCTTGTGCTTCCGCACGTCCCGAGTGGCAGATTAATGTTCCGCAAATTGTATGCCGGCGCGGCAGAACGGGCCAGACGGTGCAGGGATCCATATCGGCGCAGCACGAATGAATGTCACGCCCTGGTGCCGGTATGTGGGTGCTGGATGACCTATCCTTGGTCTGTTTTGTAACAATCACTGACCGCCCATTCCTGTCCGAACAATTTATATATGGAATGAAGCATCCTGCCCGTTGTGTGTGTGTGTGTGTGTGTGTGTGCGTGCGTGCGTGCGTGCGTGCTTGCGTGCGTGCGTGCGTGCGTGTGTGTGTGTGTGTGTGTGTGTGTGTGTGCGCGCGCGGGCGGGCGGGCGTGCGTGCGTGCGTGCGTGCGTGCGTGCGTGCGTGCGTGCGTGCGTGCGTGCGTGCGTGCGTGACGTCTCCGTTATATACGTGAGTAGTGATCGACTTGTTTCTGTGTCTGAACGGTGACAAAGTCGTCCTCCGCCTGTGCATGAATATCGAACTGCTTGCACTGTGGCGTCATCATGTGTGGGCACATGACGCCTGTGCTGGTGTATACATATTGCATAATGATTGGACGGGCACTTATACATTTAGGCAGGCATGTGTCTAGGATCTGCTTATGAATGGCATCCGTGGCATGTTAGGAGGGGCCGCCCGTCGAGACCAGTCCCTCACCAGGGGGAGGTTTTCCACACCCCTGGAGGACGGAAGTGGCGCCACCCGCACAGACCAGTCCCTCACCAGCGGGAGGAAGAGAGGTTGCCCGCCCTGACCGGCCCCTCCACAGTCCTGGGAGGAGGGCCGCCCTTGCTCACCCGTGCCGAGGCCGACTTGCACGCCGGCCGTCTCCAGTCGACGCACGTCGCACAGACCCGAGCGCAGGCTGGCGTTGGAGTTGGCGCAGTGCGCCACGCCCGTGCCGCTGTCGCGCAGCAGCGTCAGCTCGTCGTCGCCGGGATGCACGCAGTGCGCCAGCACAGTGCGCGGACCGAGCAGGCCGGCGCGCCGGTACACGTCCGTGTAGCTGGCGGCCTCCGGAAACAGCCGGCGCACCATGGCCACCTCGTTGCGCGTCTCGTTCACGTGCGTCTGCACGTGCAGGCCGTGCTCGGCGGCCAGCTGGCCGAGGCCGGCCAGCAGCCGCTCGCTGCACGTGATGGCGAAGCGCGGCGTGACGGAAGGCAACACGAGCGGGCAGCGGCGCGCCAGCTGGCCGCGCGCGAACGCCGTCGCCTCCTGCAGGCTCTGGTCGGTTGTCTCGCAGTAGTTGGTCGGCGCCTGCTGGTCCATGCACGTCTTGCCGACCAGCGCGCGCTGGCCGCGCTCGCGGCACAGCTCGGCCAGCCGCTCGGTGGCCGGCCGGTGGATGCTGGCGAAGTAGGACGCGCACGTGGTGCCGTTGCGCAGCGTCCGGTCCACGACGGCGGCGTACACGGTGCTGGCAAACGCCTCGTCCTGGAAGCGTGCCTCTGTCGGGTACGTGTAGCGCTGCAGCCAGTCGAGCAGCGGCAGGTCAAGCGCCAGCCCGGCGTTCGGGTACTGGCAGGGGTGGATATGCGCGTCCACCAGGCCGGGCAGCAGCAGCTGGTGCGGTGACAGCTGCACCACAGCCTCGGCACCGGCGTCGAGCCGGCGTAGCTGCGCCGTCAGTCCGCTGGCCGGCCCCAGGTGCGTGACGCGGCCGCGCTCCACCACCAAAACAGCGTCCGGCAGCACCTCGGCCGCGCAGGCTGCCGTCGCGTGTGCGACCGTGCCTTGGAAGAGCTGCACGTCCGGCACGGCCTGCTCCCGCGACATGGTCGGTCCTGAGGATGGCGGGGCGCGTTACGTCACAGGTGCCCAGAAGATGGCGTGGCGGTTGGCGTATGAGGAGAGAGAGAGAAGAGAGAGAGAGAGAGAGAGAGAGAGAGAGAGAGAGAGAGAGAGAGAGAGAGAGAGAGAGAGAGAGAGAGAGAGAGAGAGAGAGAGAGAGAGAGAGAGAGAGAGAGAGAGAGAGAGAGAGAGAGAGAGAGAGAGAGAGAGAGAGAGAGAGAGAGAGAGAGAGAGAGAGAGAGAGAGAGAGAGAGAGAGAGAGAGAGAGAGAGAGAGAGAGAGAGAGAGAGAGAGAGAGAGAGAGAGAGAGAAGAGAGAGAGAGAGAGAGAGAGAGAGAGAGAGAGAGAGAGAGAGAGAGAGAGAGAGAGAGAGAGAGAGAGAGAGAGAGAGAGAGAGAGAGAGAGAGAGAGAGAGAGAGAGAGAGAGAGAGAGAGAGAGAGAGAGAGAGAGAGAGAGAGAGAGAGAGAGAGAGAGACGTGCTGGCACGTGCGGGTTCGACTGAATACAAGTGGTGTTATCCTCGACTTTACGTCGTTGATAGCGAAATGAAGACAAGCCGGGCCATGGTTGGTTCACGCTGCGTTAATTCTTAGAAGTTTTGATCTGAAGTTTCCGGCGTATGTGTGCAAATGTCCTTTCAATCCGTTATTTTTCGATCAAGCGTTGCCGACCATCTGTTGAGGAGGTACAGATGGGCGAACATTGAGACGGGATAGAGAGATGGGCAGACGAGAGATGGGTGAGGAAAGAGAGGTTCTCTTCCGGTGTTGTCGGCTGGCACCGCTACAGAGTTCAGTCGACCCATCTCGACATCACTTTGGCCACACCGGCCAACGAATTATTACCAGATCTCGGACGTAATCGCAGTCAGCTGACTACTGGAGACTCTCGAGTGGGGCGTGATGGCGACCTGTCCAGAGGTTACGTTGAGGACTGCCCGTGCGGTGCCGGAACATGGTAATACGGATTGGCCGGGTCACGACAGCCGCGGAACTTCGCGCTCTCTTGATCGGAGGCGGTCTTGCCCAACGTGCTCTGCTGTCATAGTTACCGACCAATTCTGGGGCCTCTTGGGGTGGACACGAAAACGTTTGGTATGGTAGTCGCGCATTTAAGTGCAGCAAAGTTTGCAACGGTGCCCTCAATTATTACAGTAATGCTGGCCATGGCCATACTGCCCGGACACCTGGACAGAACAGAAAACCTGCGTCATGCCCGCTGCTCTGCACGTGTTCGGGTTGTCAACATTTTGTTGGACATCAAATTTTTGTTTCGTTGTATGCGTGCAAAACATATTCCTGCAACTTTTGATTTGCCCACCTCGTGAAGTATTCTTGGGCTACCGAGTAAATATCCTTGATATTTACTCTTTTTTTACATCAAATTTTTGTTTCGTTGTATGCGTGCAAAATATATTCCTGAAACTTTTTATTTGCCCACCTCGTGAAGTATTCTTGGGCTACCGAGTAAATATCCTTGGGTATGTCCTTGTAAAACATCGAGGAATTTAGCACAGATGCTTTTGATATCCTGCCGGTACAATGGTACCGCTGTGTGGAAACCGTTCGTCTTACCGCCGGGCGGACGGCACGTTTTGGGCACACTCCCTGGATTTCCTTCCCAGGTGTCGCAGACTGAAGGCACTGGATATCAAGCATTGCACGTGCCTTCCTCGACCTGTTGGCTGTGATCAGATATTTCACCACGCCTGTTATTGATTTCCGAGGCGCCGGACACACACAGCGTGACAGTGGACGCTCGCCATGTATACGTTGGACGCGTGGGCCTGTGGCTGGCTGTGGACCTGGTGCCCTACATTTGCCGCGTAGTCCACTCACCAACAAGCACGGGCGGGACCGACGCTGCGGCTGGCGGGGCCGGCTCCCAGTCACTTCTGGGCGAGTTTGGTCGTTGTCATGTGATTATCTAAAAATAAATCAATGTCCACAGGGCCCTGGTAATCTGTGCTAGGTGCGGACGGCCCGGCGTGAGCGTTCCGTAAACACGTCCGACGGTCGTCCTCCCCCCCCCCCCCTCCCCTTAACGACACCTTACACCCGACCTGTCACCGGCGTATTCCCCTCCATATTCGTAACTCCCTGAGCCACCCGAGCGTGTCACGCCGCCGGTGGCCGTTCAGCCATGACTGCGGTGCCACCTAGACCAGTGCACGACTCCGGGAGGACAGTCGGGTGCGGCCGGCGCCTTCTGGGGTGACGTGGGTAGAGGGTAAAGCACAGGACGGTTGGCCTGGTTTTTTTGCGTCTGGTGTGGCCACCATATGATTCTGGGCTCTTCCGGAGTTGTCAGTTGGTTTAACTGGTTCGGAAGAAAGCTGACGAGGGTACCCGCTCGACGTTTGGACGTATGTTCGTATGTTGACGAGGGTACCCGCTCGACGGCTGGTATGTTGTCACCGGTGTCATTTCGTGCCCTGTGGTCGGCAGGCCCATTCGAGCGTTTACCTCCGAGGGCTGTCGCTAACGCGTTTTGTCTGTATCTGAGGTTGTCCAGACGTGGTCGCTCCAGAGGCAGTCCAAGTTGGGTTCGTCGTCATGTGTGATCAGAAGATAAATATGCTCCAGGCTTAACGTATAATTGGATCATGTGCCGGTGCGTCCACTTGGGCATGCTTTTGTCTGTCCAAGTAGCCTTTTCCCTAATTTAAGTTGTGCCAATGGCTGTGTTCGTGCCAATTTCACAAGATTGCAATATTCAAGAATTACAAATAATGATGCATACTCAGGGGTTTCCCCGTGTATCGCGAAACGTCCTTCAGTCTTGTCCGTTCAGCCTTGTCCCTTTAGTCTTGTCCCTCCGGTCTCGTCCCGTCGGTCTCGTCCCTTCAGGCTTAAACTTTCAGCCTTGTCCCCTGCTTCTCTCTGGACGGTTATATGTAGAAAATTTGCATACGGTCGCGCGTATTCTCCCGCCGGAAAGAGCCTTTCTAATGGGTAAACGTTCATTGCGAGTCTTTGCTGCATCCTCCTGATGTAGCGAGTTGTTAACGTACGTTACGCGGTATATGCACGGAATCCAACGTGTCATTTGGGCAGATAGTGCCTTATAACTTTTCTTCACGACGGACGGCTTGTCGCCGTCGCTGAGCGTATCTGCCAAATATGGCAGTGTGCGATCGCCCCTCAATGCTGAGACAGCTGCATGCGATAGTGGACGCTTCAGGTCGCAGGTAAAAACAGCGCATGATTTTGTTTCTGTCGTTTCGAGTCAACCCGGAGCGGTCGAGGTGGCTGCCAGTGGATGACGGTCACGGCCCGTGGCGTGGCGGTCAGTGACCGGTCACGGCCCGCCGCCACTGACGTCACATCGCCGCCATCACACTGACGTCACATGTTTGGAGGCCGAGCGGGTCGGTGCGGCGCCGGCGTGGCGTCTCACCTGTGTGCGGTCCGGTCGCCGGCGCGTCGTCCGATGGCCGCTCGTCCCACACTCGACACGGTCACCGCGCGGGGGCTGCTGTGCGTGGGTGGTCCGCTCCGCGATGACTCGGCGGTATCGGGCCGGCCGGCGGCGTCGAGTCCCGCCCGGCGTGACCGCTGCGACACCAGTGTGGCCGCCGCGCGTCCTGCCGCCGAACCGCGCCGCGCCCCGCTCCCTGCAGAGACTGGCGCCTCCCTCTCGGGCCGCGCTCCCGGTCGACGCGGTCACCGCGCTCCGAAGGCCGACACCGATCAATGGACGTTTCAGGCGGACGCGGCCACGTGCGCCGCGGCCGCGGTCGGTCGGGCGCCAGGAGTGAGCCGTGCGGCCGCGCACGAACCGGATCTGACGCCGTTTAAATGGACTCCTCGACAAAAAAAACAACTCGCAAATCCCATCTGTCGACTTTCGGTCGACGACTGCGGAATGACAACATATAAAAAAAGGCGAAACGGCTAAATGGCTGCAAAGGGGTGAAGTGAAAAAATTCGACACAACGAATTGGCGACATACAAAAGAGTCGACATGCCAAATTGGCGCACGGCTAAATGGCGAACTGCGAAAAGGCGACCTAGCAAAACATCAGCACGTGATGTTAACAAACGGCAGAGTGCAGAAATACAAAAGGGTGATATTTGAACCCTGTGTTGGTGAATCATAACATGGAAAACGTGGACGCATCAAACTGCGGGCTGGCTGGCTGGGCGTTTTGCGGTGTGGCGTGGCGAGGCGTGATGTGGTGCGGTGCGGCGTGACCGGTAGTACGTGGCTGGAAGTACTGGGCGTGGCGGGTACTGCGGGGCATGGTGGGGCGTGGCGTGACGTGACGTGACGTGACGTGGCGTGACGGGTAGGACGTGGCGTGGCGAGTAGCGCGAGCGTGGCGGGGTGCGGTGTGGCGTGGCGTGGCGGGTAGTGCGCGGCGTGGCGTGGCGGGGTAGAACGTGGTGTGGAATGGCGTGGCGGGTAGTATGTGGTGTGGTGTGGTGTGGCGGATAGTACGTGGCGTGGTGTGGTGTGGCGTGACGTGGCGGGTAGAACGTGGTGTGGAATGGCATGGCGGGTAGTACGTGGCGTGATGTGGCATGGAGTGGCGGTTAGTACGTGGCGTGATGTGGTGTGGTATGTAGTGGCGGGTAGTACGTGGTGTGGTGTGGTGTGGTGTGGCGTGGGTGTGGTGTGGTGTGGTGTGTGGCGTGACGTGGCGGGTAGAACGTGGTGTGAACGTGGTGAGGTAGCGTCGAGCGCGGGCAACATCACATTGGCGTCTACAGGTCTCTGAACCCGCGGGCTGTTCCAGTTGGTAGTTTGCATTTACTTGAAATGGGAAGCCATTCCTTTGCAGTAAGTTTGAATCTGTGATATTTTTAACTACTTTGTCTTTAATGTTAACCCTGTCATCATGTTGACACAGGGCCCTTCCATTGTCTCACTGTGGACCCTGCGATGTTATTTATATGTCGTATCATTGTCAGAGATCAGCGTATTGAATGTGTTCATTCTGATGTTCATCGAATTGCATTGTTCTTTGTGTCCCGGTCGATGCAAGAGGCATTACCACGAGCATTCGAGGGGTGCCTCCTGGGACCCCAGTCAGGTCCTCGTTCCACTGGTCCCTTTCCTGCGCAGCCATCCTGTGCCTCCACGGACAGCATCCACCTTGTGCCCCCACGGACGGCATCCACCAGAAACAAAGCACCCGTTCGTCGCACGACCTGTTAACTCTCGTTAGGAAGGTTTTTTAAATCCTCCCCACGATTTCAGCAAAGAGGTTTAAATGTTAGAAAGCATGAGTAGTCAACCGGTTTTTTTTACATTCGCTGACGACCCGCGCCGCTACGTTGCAGCGGCTGGAGAGACATGGTGGAGAGGTACGCGCCACCACCCAAGAGAAGATTCGACATCAGCAAGCAGAAGATACCGTTCTCCCGGAGATACCCCCGGGTGGGTCAGCAGTGTCACTGTTATGTGTCGCACTCAGCCTCTCTCCTGCTCTGGCCTGCGGTTGCGTCCACGTGGTGGCCGGATGACGAGTTGAGCCATTGTAACAACGCTTAACATATCCCCATATGCTACGTATTCGTCGATGACAGCGGGAATGACGTTTGCGCGAGCACGATGCCTTTATTGCGCAGATGTTACAGAATCGTGGATGGTGGTGGAAATATTACGGTAGAATCTCGTGGCTGGTGGTAGAAAACAGTGAGGATGGTTCCGTGAACTGGCGTTTCGGTAGAGTTTGATGGCTCCTGCTGGGACGCCTAGTTATTTTCATAGATATAAAACGCCACCCATGGCGAAAAATGCTCTGTACAACGTTCAAATTGCAGAAGTTCTGTGTGGAAAAGATGATATGCCAAGTAGCTTGCTTGTATTCAATGGAAGCTCTCGGGGAAACTATTTGTTCTTTAGCCTTCGGCAGACAATAATATTGGAGAAAACAGATTCAGGTATGCTTGAGAAATATAACTAAAAATTCGTGTGCAATCTAGCATATCCATCTCTATGAGTCAATAAACGAAGAATAGATGACCAGTTTTACGTTTCAGTCGCAGATGAATGATGCAAACCGGAGACAAAAAAAAACATGCAATGTACCCACAATTTTGATACGATTGTGATACACCCAGGAATAACTATACACATGTATGATAAGAATCCGTAGTGACAGTAAGTTGTCGTGTGGTGTGGTGATATTCAGAAAAATGCATTGAAATCATATCGAAATTGCGAGCGCATTGCATGATCCTTTTTCAACGGTTCGAACTACTTATCTGCCACTGAAATGTAAACCCGGTCATCTGTTTACGTTCGTTGTCTTAGAGGGATGGACATGTTGAATTGTATGTGGTGTCTCTTGGTGTCTCTCTCTCTTAATGCGCGCTTGTGGTTAATTTCACCCTAGTACCTAATAGAACCACGGCTTTTGATTCTGCACACGGCGCACCGCTGTATATGTGACGACTAGCATTCAGGATTTCCAGAAATCCTCAACTTTAACATTTGAACAGCCCAGCACGACCAAACTCACAGCGTGCAAAATACCACGAGCGAAAATGTGCAGATATAACCATTGGACCGAGACAAAAATGTTTATCAAGAAAAGGGCAAAGGCTCGCGATGTAGCTGAATCCATTGGATCCACGGGCGCATCGGAGTGCAATAAGGCCATCCCCTTCATACCACGCACCAAATGCTGATGACTCCTTTGCCTGAAATCCTTATCAGTACATTCTTGTGCATGCATAGTTTACTCGTGCAGATCGTTGTCATTCGAATTGTTTTCCAAATTGACTTTCATCCTTTTCCCTTCAACACCTCATCCTTTGACCATTTCCCATTCGATTTTTATTCCGGTCGACTTTTATCACTTTCAACTCTTTGTTCTTCGATTTTTTTTCCAATTCCACCTCAGTCTTGTCGATTTGTGCCTCAAAATGTTGTGCTTCGATTTTTTCGTTTGTGTTTTTCAGTCGACTTTTAACCCCTTTGACGTAAAGTCTTCTGTTTTTGTCCATTCCACTTTTGTCCCCGTTAACTTTGATTTCATTCGACTTTCTTCTTCGACTTTTTCATAGCACTTCTTCCATTCGACTTCCTCCGGTCGACCTTTTTCCGGCAACCATACTGGGTATGAAGCCCACGATAAGTGGGGCGTTCGCGAGGATGCAAGATGAGGATAGAATGAGGAAAGAAGCGCGAATGCTAAAAGTCGACGATTATTGAACGAGACCTGCATTAGAAACGCGTGAGACGAAGTGCAAAATGTGCGGTTTTTTGCTTGAACTGTGCGAAAATAAATCGGGGTCCAAGAGCCGATTGGCGATGGGGTACTGGCGAACTCAACGACTCGGGATTAAATCAGACTCGTACTGCAAGCGAGAGGCGCTCTTCCGTGTGTGGCAGAGAATGCTACCATTTAGTAATACGTAATCTTGCGCATTTCAGTCAATTTTTTGTTGTGTGCTGGTCATTCAGCGCTTTGTTATGCTTATGAAAAGGTAGCCCCATGAAATTAAACTGGCTTAATTAATATCACATGCATCCATTCAGTGGATATTTACACACACCTCAGTGCACAACAACAATTTGATGAGCATGTATGTGGTGGTCCTGCAAATATCACATCCATTTTCACAGCACAGTAACAACAAACTCATTCCCACCGTTACTTATACGGCACATTTTATGCAACTAAATGAAACAGCTTGCTATTAGCCTCAGTCCTATACAACATTGGTTTTTGACCAAAGTTGTGAAAAGCTCTTGTGCAACTTTCTCTTGTTGTACAACTGTCTTGCCAAAGTTGTTTTGTACAACTTTGGAGCGAAATTGTCGCACGCCGCTCGCGAGACACGCAAAAATAGGAACTAAAAGGAAATGTTCCATGTTTGAAGACATTGAAGCAAGCATCATATATGATGAAATAAGTTCATTTATCAAATAAAGATGTACTTTTAAATGGAAATGACTGCTCAAGATAGCACAATTTAATAATTTCTCCGCTTCGTAAGTACGCTCCTCAATACGTCATTGTTTGATTACGGGATCATGCTCTGCACAACATCAATTGAAAGCCAATTGGGGGCTGTTATATCCGGATATTTTGCCCATCGACGCCAGATATGAGCGACTCTACAATTATATTATTCCTGGCCTTGATCGCCGCATGTCTAATGGGGTGGCAGAATTTAAATGACGTTACTGTTGCCTCGTGGATGACTCGGTGGCCTTGAAATAGCCTCCAAAGATAGGCTGCACGTCTTTGCGTGCGAGTAGCTTAGAACCTAGAGGGGTTAGGCCTTGAGAATGACATGCCTGTGAACTGCAGAGAGTTATATTTTAGTTGGTTATTTCAGCTCAAGGCCCCATACAGATGTGGACCACTGCATTCGAATAAAGCACCACTACTTTTTACGCGGGGGGCTGTTCTCTAAAGCCAAGGACAAAAAGGAAAATTGTATCAGTTTATGCAACTTGGCCAAGTGGCTTGGCTCTCAAACCCCGTGACTGGATCTGTTAATGTTGCCGGACGTTTACCATCCCATATGCAGAAAACACATATGTTCGTCGAAAAGAGTAGCATATCTACCAACCCGAGAGCAATCTCCCCTCACAATAAAAACCCTTGTTTTGCTCTCAC